TATTTTATGTGGACTGCTGTGGTTCCTACCTAAAGTCTTTTTACTCTTCCAGGGTCTTATCTAGGATACATTATATTTAGTCATCATATCTCCTCAGGCTCCTCTTGACTATGACAATTTCCTTGTTGATAATTACCTTGACAATTCTGAGAAATACTGGTTATTTTGTAGCCTGTTCCACAATTAGGATTTGTCAAGTTTTTCTCAGCCTTAGTCTGGGGCTGTGGGTTTTTAGACCACAGAGGTAAGGTCCTATGATTTGAACTGATGTTAACCTTGATGACTTGGCTGAGGTAGTATTTCTGAGCTTCTTCCAAATGTAAAGTTACTCCTTTTTGTTCTTTTTCCATTTGAAACTTTTTGGAAAGAAGTCACTATGCACACCTCACACTTAAAGAAGTAAATTTATAAATCATTTAGAATTCTTCTGTACAGCAGATTTGTCCATTAATTTCCTATTTATTCATACTACCAATAATTTATATCAGTATAAACTCATAGACTTTGGGTTATAATCCAATACTACTTATTGTATTGCTCAAATTGTTCCAGCTTTTGCTATTGTGAGCTCTTTCAGTTGACATTGGTGTCCATTTCACATACTTAAATCATTTTGTGTTTTGAACATCCCTTACTTTTTGGGACTACAAGATGCTCTAAGCGTATCTTCTAATTTCCCTGTTCCAGCCCTAGAATCAGCCATTTCTCCAAGGAACTCTGATTTCCTTTTTTTTTTTGGAGAAAGGTATTAAACGAAAGTGAAATCTGGATGTTGGTTGTTGATTTAATTTTAAAACATGAAATTAATGTATTTTTCATTTCCATAACAATACTGCAGAAGAAACAGATTAGCATAGCATGATGTTTTATAAAAAAGGAAGCTGAAGCAACTGTTTGCAAAAGGTTAAATCCATTCCTTTTAACTAGCTAAGTGTTTTCCAATGACCAGGCCAAATTTGGGAAATATGTGAAATATTCATATAATTGACTTATTATCCAGAAAGACAGAAAATATTATATGGCTTCATAACCTCTTGAATTAAACAGATGAGGGCTAAGAGTTCAGTTGAACCATTTCACTTATTTATCCAACATCCACTCAGTGACAGGGTAGGGGGAGAGAAAGATATTAATTAGGGATGATCTTTTAGCAAAGCTGACATTCTGAAATCTGAACACCTTATGGAAATCTAGTGGAAGAGTTCCAGATGGTGGGAAACATAGGAAACAAGGAAAAATGTGAGTGCTCAATAAAGAGAAATATCTGTAGGGCTGAGTTGGGGGAGGTTATTGAAAATTATAGTTGAAGAGGTAGAATGATCTGCAGATTTGTGGGGTAGGCTGGGTCCTATGTGGAGGACTGAGGTTTGGTTTACATTTTTGGAAGATCACTGGCAGTTGTGGAGAATGAATTGCAGGAAGGTAAAAGTAGAAGCAGAGAGAATATAGTTAGAAGTGTTTATCACAGAAGTACAGAGTGTGGGAAACTCAGACTAGAAGGATTGTAGCGGAAATGAAAATAACTGCATAGATTCAAGGTCTGTTATTTAGGAGGGTAAAGTCAACTTGCTGCTAATCTACTATATGTGGATATGAAGAAAAGGAGAGTAAAAAAACACCCTGGGGTTTAAGGCTTGAGTATCTAAGGTGATATAGTGCTATTTACTAAGTTATGGAAAAACTGATGAAATTAATGCTCAAAAACCTTAGTTTCCTCATCCATAAAATGGGAGTAAGACAATAAAACAGGACTAAATGCAAGGCAAAGTCCCTGTCACAAGGGTCTAGTCAATACAATCTCTTTTTAATCACATAAGCCAAATCCCTTCATATTCCTTACATTGCCAATCATTAACATTTAAAAGTAGTAAAGCACATTTCACAAAGAAGTATGTATTTCAGAATAACACATACTTTTCCATTAGAATGTATAGAGTTAAGAATCAGATTCAAGTTTGAATGAAAATCCTGGCTTAAGCTTTTGACTAGCTTTGTGAACTTGGAATGTCCTAGTCCTACTTTTCCCCCAAGCGCAGATAGTAATAAGACTCATACATGGCATTGTTTAAACTTCTCATTTACCGACTCCCAGCCCAGTCATACAGAGAAAAGAAAATTTTACAATGTTTGACTTTACATTTAATTTTCCAATATAGACCTGATCTTCCATATTAAATATCATAAATAAGGCTGCAGTCCTTAAAAATCTTTGTAACTCTTCTGTTAACTAAAATAATTAAGTTCCAGTCTCTAATACCTACAGATAACCACCATGTGGTCAACGTTAGGCATGGCCATTCCTTAAGAGTTTAAGAGGCCCAATGCTTGTGACCATAATCTTTAAGAGAAAATTTTAGAAAAGCCTACTTTCAAAACTATCTGGAGGTAACATATATGTATTTTTAATTTCATCTCCTCAAACCTGTAAACTGGGGAAAAAATTCCAATAGGCAGTAAATTCTTTCTGAGGGGCAAGGTAGTAAAGACAAATGGAGTTATCAAAAAAGAAAAAAAAAACCCTCATAAAGCCATCAAGCTTCAAAATTTCAATGGTAGATTGATGATCCAGGATCTTCTAGAAATATATTTTCTATTAAAATTAAAATTAAGCTTTTTTTTTTTCTCCTGAGACTTCTAGAGTTCTTTTCTAATAAAAGAGTCATTACAAAATAGTACAATGCCGAATTGCTATTTTTTTTCATTTTGGGTTATTTCTCAGGTAAAAATAAGGGCATATGGATTTTATTTAGAGGTAGCAACAAAGAGGGTAAAAATAAGCATTTGAGTGCCTTCCATTCTCTACAAGCTTTGAAATAAAGGACTATCTAGTTCTTCATGAGTTATGGGGAAAAAGTCACCAATTCTTCGATTCTCACAAAATCATCTTAATACTATGGACAAATTCAAGGTTTGTAGTAAAAACTGCTTTTTAAAAACTCTTCCCTTTCCACTCCAGGCCCTGAGACTGGGTTAATGGGCAAAGGGAGAAAAAAATGGGAAAAAGTAACGTTTTTGTTTGGATGTCCCAGATGAGTCTGGTCCAATGAGGTGGGGGGTCTCTCCGTTTGGCGGGAGTGGGGAGGGAGACCCTAGAACTCCTGAGAGATCGGTGAGGCTGCCCCACAGGGCGCAGGACACGCGGAGGAGGCGGGAGATAACCGCGAGCGCGATCTCCCGCGCCCGCCAGTAAGGCTGGGACCGCGAAAAATCGGGGAAACTGCCTTTGGCTGTGAGGGTGCGGGGCAGATGTAGAAAAGGGGCGCAGGGGGACGAAGGTGAGGCACCTGGCCAGGCCCTGGGGGCTGCCTGCTCGCAGCCCTGTCACCGCCGGGGGCCCCGGGGTGGGGGAGGGGAGGGGCATTTGGCGCCTATTCAAGCAGGGTGGGGTTGGTGGGTCTTCCGAGAAGGAAAAAGGGCGCCCTGGGATGCCACGACCCGCACCTCCTGGGGTTGGAGTCCAGGGTCAGTGTGGGTAACGGGACCCCGCGGCCCGCCATCCGGCCCCTGCACATCTGGCTCATCTGGCTTCCCCAAGATCCCCAGCCGCCCTCCTCCCGGACCCAGGAACCGCTGCCGCCGCCCGAGGCCGGGCGTGTGGCGTGGCCGCGCGTCCAGGCTCCGGGCGATGTCGGGTCAGGGCCTCAGGCTGCAGCCCTCCCCATGCACCCCTCTGGCGTGCGCGCCCCTCTCGCGCCCGCTCCCCTCACTCACTATCCGAGGGTCGAGGACGCCCGGCGGCTGTCACGGCGCTGGGGCTGGCGCTGCAGGAGCAGCGGGGTGGCCGTGGGGCGCAGCTGCAGGGGCGCCGGCTCATGCCAGCCGACGTGGAGTCCGCCTCAGGTAGAGGAACCGCTCCGGGTGAAGCTGAGCAACCTGCCTGCTTCACAGACCTGTATCTCTTAAAAGGCGCCAGCTGGTACTTTTAAAATCTTTGAATTTGGTGCCTAAATCCGCGCGGTCCAATGAGGCGCGTCGCTCGCATGCACGCACCAATAAGAGGGCGGTGGGTGGGGGCGCCCTCTTCCGCGCCCAATTGGACGCTGCCGAGGCGGGGCCAAGCCGCGAAGCCCAGCCCCCTTTCAGCTTACCGGCTACCCACGTCCGGAAAGATGCTACGGCCGGGGGCGGGACCTCCGAGCGCGGGGAGGCCGCGGCCCGGCCACACGTGTGGAGGGCCTACCACGCATGCGTGCGCCCGCCAAGATTCCCTCCGCCGTCTTCCGGACCGGCCTCCTGCAAGTCCTAATCTCAGCCCAAATTCAGCGCCGGCTTCCATCTGGAGATCTTCGATGGGTACAAATGGTAGCCGACTTTCTTCGATCATCTCTCGAACAGCAGTTCGGTGAGCGGCAACTCGGCTCGTCCGGCAATCCAGACTTTCCGGAAGACGGACCCTCCCCCCAGCCCAGCTTAGCCCGCCTCTCTAGGATTTACGCGCGCGCTTCGCTCTCCCTCCTAACTCGCCCCTCCCCTTGACCCACGCCTCTGCGCAGGCGCCTTGGCGGGTTGTTGCTGCAGAGTTGGCGGGTCGGCGCTTGCGCACCGGGGTTCCCCGCGATTTTTTTTTCCCGGGGCTGGATGAGGGGCGGGCCGCTTAGAGGGGCTGTGCGGCTCTCCCTGCGCCTGGCTGACATCAGCTGTGGGAGACCTGCGGCTGCGTCTCCCAGGGCCTTCCGGCGGGGCCGAGGGTGCGACCGAGGCACTTCTTCCTTGCGAGCGCATTTATTTGTATTTTCAGCCACCCTTCAGACACTTGGTTTACGCTTTCCTGGGTTTTTGTTCCTCTCCTTCAAGGACCAAGCGTAGGAGACAGTAGTCCTGCTCCCAAAAAAAGAATAAATAGAAGTCCCCCCTGGACGCCCCTGGCCAAGGGAGTTTTTAGTGATGGCTGGCGTGGACATCAGTATGAAAGTGTACCGGAGTATTAGTGATGCTCAACTTTTCACAATTTGAATATGCACTTAAGTAGGACAGTGCATTCCCTGAACTCAGCTTTATGGCTACAGCCCAGTGATGCCACGGAATGTGAACTCCAAAAAGGCGAATCCTCGTTTGCTGTTTCCCTCTGGTGCCTTTCTGCAGCCTCGGAGTGAGTTATTTGTGGTCAGTGTTCAGTACCGTTAGTGACGAGTCCTGTGTGGCGTGGTCAGGATTAGGATGAGTCATACAAGTGCTGGGTGGATCCTGTCTACCTAAAATTTTGATAATTAGTTCATTATGGGCTTTTTGCCTTTTCCATTTAAGAAAAAGGTTACATTAAAATAGTGTCACTCTTGATGACTGAAATTTTTTTCATCCCCGTAAATGCACCTGAGGCCTGTGCTTCCTTGCCTCACTCTAGCCTGGCCCTGGGGCTAGGTCCTGGAGCTTCAGAGTTGAAAAGACAAAGTCCTGTCCTTCAGGGAGTTTACAGAGATCAATGGGAAAGAAGTTGACAGTGAACAATTTCAGAACGAAAAAGGATATGAAATAATGTATTGGGGTAGAGAATGCAGATTAGTATAGGTTAAGGTTTTTGGATGGTCAGGACGCTTTCTGAGGCTTTGAACCCGGATCTGAGTGTTGAACTGGCCATGCAGAGCTGCATAATAAACAGGGAATAATAAGCAGAGGGAATGCCTGACTACAACTTAGCAAGAAAGAGCGGAGATGAGGTTAGAGAGGTAGGCAGAAGCCAGATCCTGTGGGACCCTGTGGGTTTTCCATGTAGAGTTTAGACTTTCTTCTGATTGCAGTGGTTAGTTGTTGGAAGAATTTTGGCAAGGTAGGTATTTGTTGATAGAATATTAAAACTAACAGCTTTTTTTATGTAAAAAATAATGTAAATGTTAGCTTTTCATTCTCACAATAGGTTAGCATTATTTTCAGTGTATAATGGTTGTGCTTCTCAGTGTGAGTTAATTCTCACTGTGGCTACCAGAACCACACAGCTAGTAAGCAGAAATTCTAGTGCCAGTCTGCAGGATTCAAAAAGTCCATGTGCTTTCCGCCTATGCTGTGCTAGCCTATAGCACTGTCTGCTGGAGCCCTGGTTGGTTTTAGTACATTTCACATTACTTCACAATTTGACCTTAGAGATAACTGTATTCACCTTTTATTTTCAGATGCTGGCAGAAATACAAAATTTGAAGCAGGCAAGGGTTCTCATTACATTATTTTTTATTTTTATGTTTTTGAGACTGAGTCTCACTCTGTAGCCCAGACTGGAGTGCAGTGGTGCGATCTTGGCCTATTGCAACCCCTGCCTCCTGGTTCAAGTGATTCTCCTGCCTCAGCCTCCCAAGTAGCTGGGATTATAGACATGCGCTACCACGACTGGCTAATTTTTATATTTTTTAGTAGAGACAGGGTTTCTTTCACCCTGTTGGCCAGGCTGATCTTGAACTCCTGACCTCAACTGATCCGTCCTCCTTGGCTTCCCAAAGTGCTGGGTGGCATGAGCCACTGTGCCTGGCTCATTAAATTAGTTGAGCATCTGGAATACAACCTTTGGATCTTATCCTCAGCTTAGATTTGTTCTTCAGCAGTTTTTTTATTCTCCAGAAAAAGGCTGATAGATTATTGGAGAAATCAAAATTTCTGTCATAATGTAATATAAAGAACCAAGCATGTTTTGTTGCATGCTAGAATAATTTGTCAGTTTCTTTCAGCTTATTGGGTTACTGAATCATTGACATTAAGTGATGTTTGAGCTTTAATTATATTATTCGTAACTGTCAGCATGTTCGGTTCACTGGCACCTGCTAATTCTCATCTAAGTGAGAAACTTAGGGCCACTCTGGCGGGGTATGGTGGCTCAATCCTGTAATCCCAGCACTTTGGGAGTCACAGGCAGGAGGATTGCTTGACCCCAGGAGTCAACATGGTGAAACCCCATCTCTACCAAAAACAAAAAAAGCAAAAATTAGCTGGGCATGGTGGTGCACACCTGTAGTCGCAGTTACTTGGGAGGCCGAGGTGGGAGGATGGCTTGAGCCCAGAGGCAGAGGTTGCAGTGAGCTGAGATCGCATCACTGCACTCCAGCCTGGTGACCAAAAAATAAAGGGCAGGGGGACGTTCTGAATTTTACTAGATGCCAGTAGATGTATACACCTCATTTTTCAAATTAGCATCAATCAGTTGTTGGGTGTTTAGGTGGAACATGAAGTGCAGAGAGAACTGCCCTCATTCTTTCATAAAATTCTTATCGCAGACCTACCACATGCAAAACAGTGGGATATATGGAAATAAATGGGACATGATATCTGCCGTTGTGCTTATTATCTGTGAGCTTGCCACATAATAGCCATAATAGGTGTTTAGTAAATAATTTCTGAATACCAATCATGAGGCATGTCTGTGGGGGTAAGGTGTATAAAATAAAGCTATGTGGAACACTGGATGAGTCAAATACATTTAAATTTGTGGAAATTTTGGCCAGGCGTGGTGGCTCACGCCTGTAATCCCAGCACCTGGGAGGCCTAGGCGGGCATATCTCAGGAGTTCGAGACCAGCCTGGCCAACATTGTGAAACCCCATCTCTACTAAAAATACAAAAAATTAGCCAGGCGTGGCGGTGGGCGCCTGTAATCCCAGCTACTTGGGAGGCTGAGGCAGGAGAATCACTTGAACCCAGGAGGCGGAGGTTGCAGTGAGCTGATACCACGCCATTACACTCCAGCCTGGCCAACAAGAGTGAAACTCCATCTCAAAAAGGAAATTGTGGAAATTTTCTTAGAGTTACTTCTGTGTACCAGGATAAGGGAATAATCTGTAGGACAGGGCTTCTTAACCTCAGCACTTTTGGGCCAGATAATTGTAGGGTGTTTAGCAGCATCTCTTTTATTCTGTCTTCCAGTTGTGATAACTGTCTCTAAACACTGCCAGATGTCTCCTGGGGGCCAGAGGCCCTCTGGATGAGAACCATGGCTGTAGGGGATGTCTTCTGAAGAAACGGGCAAAGGAGGCCTTCTACAACATAAAGAACAAAATAAGGGAAAGGGTAAATGCAGTTGCATTTATTAAGATAAATTAATTTGATGTGGCATGGGGGGTGGTGTGTAAAGTGAGCTAATACAAAATGATGCTGGATACAGATCATGGATGTATACACAGTGGAGAGCTGGTTTTATTTGGGAGGCAATGGGAGCTTTTACATTGTTGAGCAAAGGAGTGACGAGATCAGTCTTGCTTTTTAGAAAGATTAGTTTGGCAGTTACTTATTTGTAACCAGAATTAGACGGCAAATAGGATGCGGGGGAGAAGTCAGGTGACTATTAAAGTAGTCTGAGAAGTTAATTCTGGACAAGAGCAGTGGTAATGGAACTAAAAAGGATCACAGGTTTTAGCAATAAATCCAACGCGAGGAAGGGGAACTCAAGATGCCATTTTAAATTTGAGAGTGGTAGTACCATTAAAAACTAATGAATTTTGATTAACTAGGGCTTCAGGCCCTTTGAAATTAAGTTGAATTTTGGTTCTTTCTGAGCAATACACCAGATTTCTAGACAAACACTTAAGGTATGTTTTTAGACATCTATTTAGTGCCTATTACAGCATGGTGTTAGCTTCCGAAGAGACAAGAATGACAAAAATAGTCTTACCATTAATGGCATTGTGAGAGGTCTAGCAGTAACTTGTTTATCCTATGCCTTGATCCACCCTTTCTCATTTCCTTATTAAGCACACAATACTGAGACCAGAATAAAGCAGTACATTTACTACCTTGTGAAGAATGTTCAGGTGTTCAGGTGTGTTATCTTCATTTTGTGCTGCTTTAACAGAATACAGGAGACTGGGTAATTTGTAAAGAACAGAAATGTATTTCTCACAGTTCTGGAGGATGGGAAGTTAAGATCAAGGAGCTGGCACTTGTTGACTAGGGCTTTCCTGCTGTGTTCTCACATAAAGAAGGCAAGCTAGCAGGATGCTCCCTGAAGCCTCTTTTATTAAGGGCCTTCATCCCAGTCCTGAGAGAATCCCTCATGGCCTAGTGATCTCTTAAAGGGCCCACCTCTTGATGCTGTCACACTGGCAACACCTGAATTTGAGGGGACACATTCAAGCCACAGCAAACTGAACATTTCTCCCATGCCAGATAGCACCATGTTCTTTGTCAGTAGGTGTTGGTAGAGGGGCACTGCAGAATAAAGGGGCTTCTCTCTTGCTTCTAAGACGATACTGTGACAGTTAATTTTATGTGTCAACTTGGCTAGGCCACAGGGTGCCTAGCTACTGGGTCATACTTTTTTTTTTTAAGAGATTTAACTTCTGCTCTGAGTTTCCAATTATAAGCTCAAACATTATGCTAGGTGTTTCTGTGAGGGTGTTTTTACATGAGATTGACATTTAAATCAGTGAACTTTGAGTAATGCAGACTGCCCTCCTCAATGTTAGTGGGCTTGATCCAGTCAGGTGAAGGTCTGAAGAGAAAAAACGACTGTCCTCTTCCAAGAACAAGAGAATCCTCCAACAGATACCTTTGGACTGGACCTGCACCATCAGCTTTCCTGGGTCTCCAGCCGCCTGCCTCACACTCCAGCTTTTGGACTTGTTAGACTTAATAATCATCACACAAACCAATCCTTTTAAGGGAGTTTGTCTGGAGAATCTTGACAAACACAAACATCTACTGAGAGTTCCTGTCCAAGTTTTGCTCACACCCTAGCAAGAGGCTTCTGGCTTACCAGTAGAGGGTGTGAGGTTCTTTGCTTCTAAGACCCGATCCACCAGCTATACACCAGCTCTGGCCCAAGGCAAGATGGAGAATTTCCCCATCACTGAGTAGGCTAGCACTCTCTCTCCATTAGGCCTGACTTCACCATGGGTAAGGGGAGCCCCTTTCAAGGGTATTCTTAACTTTGGTACTCTCAGTCCTAGAACATCGTAGCTCTCTTTCATCTCTCTTAAAAGCTAGTATCATTATCAGTTAACAGTTTTTTATATTAAAACTGTCCCTGTTCAAGTTAATGGTATGGTTTCTGTCTCCTGACTAGATATCAGGATACAGTATTTACTGTCATATTTCTACTACTTGCTTAAAGTTTTTTGTAATATTTAAACTGAATTTTTGATCATTCATTAAATACTTACATAGAACAGGACAAAGGATGATTTTCCTTTGTCTACTTATTATAAGGAAGTGTCCAAGATTTACCACTACGTCATGATTACAGGTGGTCACCAACTTATGATGGTTTTAGGATTTTTTGACTTTATGATGGGTTTACAGGGATGCAGCCCCATTTCAAGCTGAGGAGCTCCTTAGGACTTACGAATCATGCCTCTTCCATACCACGGTAAAGTTGGAAAATTGTTATGTCAAGCTGTCATTAAGTAGGAGCCTGCTGTGTCGCTAACGTTATATGCTTTTTTAACTTATGATGGGTTTACTGGGAATTAACCACAATGTAAATCGAGGACCATCTGTATATTGTATGATTTTTGCTAATGCATTGAGAGAGATCTGTGTAAATTATCTATGACTTCAAAATACACATATTACCTCCAACAGTGTTAACTCATGTTTTTGAAGAGAATAAGGGTATTTTCACCCTATGTGGATGTGCTGTAGAATTTTTCTAAGCTACGAAAGTCTACAAATAACAAATCAACTTAAACTTTTTGGGAAATAATTTCTACTAAAGATTCATAATCGGCGTATTCCTTCAATGACTGTACAAGTTCATCCAGTAGATAATCTCCCTGCATAAAAGTTTCAAGATCATGCAGTGTCTTGCTTATTCTGTGATCTGTGACCCGGTTCTGTGGAAAATTATATGTTCTTATTTTCTCTGATCTTCCTTTACTTCCAATCTGTATATAGAAAAAAAGATGAGATGCAGTTAGATTCAGGGCAATTTAAACTTACAAATTTAACTTATCTGAAGACTTAAGTTCTTGATTTATAACATGAATCAAAATGCGAGAATCAGGTTTTAAACACTTAGAATCCCCAAATGACATGGGAACATGATATAGAAAAAAGAACATGTGCTCTAAAATCAGATTAATATCTGAATCCTGCCTCAGCCACTTCAATGTTCTATGACCTCGGGCAACTAGTTTACCCATCTGCAAAATACAGTGTCTACTACACAGTGATGATGGCTATAGAGCCTGGCACATAGTTGCTATTCCTATAGTCGCTGAATACGTATTATCTCTATGAATTAATGCAGTCATCTTCCGTGATAACAAGGTGGTGAGTTTCCCATATTGAGGAGTTCTTAAAAGGCTCTGTAGTTATAAAATTAAATACCGGCAGGGCGCGGTGGCTCATGCCTGTAATCTCAGCACTTTGGGAGGCTGAAATGGGTAGATCACCTGAGGTCAGGAGTTCAAGACCAGCCTGCCCAACATGGCAAAACCCTGTCTCTAGTAAAAATACAAAAAATTAGCCGAGTGTGGTGGCGGGCACCTATAATCCCAGCTACTCAGGAGGCTGAGGCAGGAGACTCGCTTGAACCCAGGAAGCAGAGGTTGCAGTGAGCCGAGATCGCGCCACTGCACTCCAGCCTGGGTGACAAGAGCGAAACTCTATCTCAATAACAAACAACGACAACAAAAATTAAACACCAAACAGGAAGAAAGCCAAGTTGAGTTAGATTTCAAACTTCCTTGCATATTACAATTTCAAAGGATTAAAAATGAATGAGGACTCAGTATATATCTTTATTTTTAGTAACTGATTAAAAGTCTGAGAAAAATACCTTTGAATATAGAAAACAGGGCAGAGGTGTAAGATTACTATCAAACAAGGATAGCCCTCAGACTACCTGAATTGTTTTCAACACAGGTTAAAACAAATATGATATGTAAAAACCGAGTTATTTTTTAAAAAGCTGAGTTACATAAAAATATTTCTATCCTTTAAAAGCATTTTTAAAATTCATTTTTTACCTGAATTTTTCTAGCATTCTGTCTTTTATTTGCTTCTTTTTCTAGATGCATGCTGTACAGTTTTGCACGTAACTTTTTCATAGCCAGCTCTCTATTTTTCAGTTGAGATCTCTCTTGTTGACATTCAGAAACAACACCTGAATAGTGTTACGAGAATTAAAAAGTTTTAATAGAAAAATCTTCTTTACTTATTATCAAGGAATACTCCTTTTCCTCCTCATCCTTTTTCTTCTTCTTTTATGAAGGGGAAAAAACAGGACTCTAATAAAAAAGGGAGAGACTATAGACTTCACTTTTGCAGAGTTTATCAGAAAACTGAAAATTTAAGTTTGAGCAATAGCACAAATAGCACAAAGTATTTCTTTTTTTTTGTTTGTTTGAGATGGAGTCTCACTCTGTCACCCAGGCTGGAGTGCAGTGGTGATATCTCGGCTCACTGCAAGCTCCGCCTCCCGGGTTCAAGCGATTCTCCTGCCTCAGTCTCCCCAGTAGCTGGGACTACAGGCGCCCGCCACCACGCCTGGCTAATTTTTTTTTTTTGCATTTTTAGTAGAGACAGGATTTCACCATGTTAGCCAGGATGGTCTCGATCTCCTGACCTCATGATCCGCCTGCCTCAGCCTCCCAAAGTGCTGGGATTACAGGCGTGAGCCACTGCGCCTGGCCTAGCACGAAGTATTTCTATACTGAAGGCATACATACTAAACAATAAGCATAAATCATTTAATACAGATTGTTTCCCCTCAGCTAGCCACCATGTTTTAAAAGTAACAACTACTTACAGAAACGAAGGTAAATGAGAAATCCTATTACTAGAGAAAATCACTTAATTTTTTTAGGCTATCCATTTTTTTCCCCCAATTTCTGTTTTGTATTCTGTATTACCTAAGACATCATCCAATTTAACATAAGGATACTCCCATAATTAAAAGAACAAAATCATAACAATCCAGTACTGGCCTCAACCACTATTAGTTAATAGGGATTATGCCCCTTTGAAATTAGTCATAGTAAGAGATTCTTGTTTCCCTTCTAGATAACTGAGATTTGCTATCCATATGCTTTATCACATGTGAATCACTGTGGTAATACTTGTGAAAGACGTTTAGTTCAACCTACAGTGTACTGGAGACTTAAAGATTTGGATGTAGTCCCTTTGCCTAACTATCTAGAATCAGATCCCCTGGAGGTATGTGAATGAAGTTAATGGAAAGATGCCCCTGCAGTTATATACAAAACTATACAATGCTTTCATATCATTTTTTCAAAGGAGGCCATGTTCCCCTCCCCTGCAAAAATGCTCAGAACCAATGATTTAGAGCATTTTCTGATAGAGAACTCATGATAATAACTTCATTGTGAGAATTTTAAGTATAAACCTCAGAACTCCACCTGGAAGGACCATCCACACCTTCTATAAATCATTAATACAGACATTCCCTGAGTTTGGATCCCTCCCTCTTCCTGGCCTTGCAATTATCCCCCAGAGTATCAGGTAAGGATTCTAAGTAAATCAAGTATTTAATAACAATCCTTAGTAGTATACATTTCTCTGGTAACCGAGGATCTATTTCAGTGGAAAATTAGATTATTCCAAAATTGATTTCTTTAGTGTCATATCTTGAAGGAATAAGTACACACCTGTTGGAAGATGAACTATCCGGACAGCACTATCTGTGGTATTTACATGCTGCCCCCCAGCTCCACTGGCTCGCTTAGTGTCAATTCTCAAATCTTTTGGATTAATCACGAGATTAATCTATACAGAAGAAAAACTGGTATTTTAAAAGGTTATATGTACCAACTTTATAAAGGCATTTATAAATACACAACATGTACAGAATTCATATATTTGGGAGGTTTAATTTTAAGACTAGAAAGTAGCTAGAAGGATACCAATTTAAAACTGTTTTGCTTTTTGGAAGAGTAAGGAATCGAAATAGTACAGGATTGTACAGTTTTGAAAAACAAATCCTTTCTAGTTCTCAAAAACCTGGCTTCTCTTTACCCATTTCTTACCAAAGAAACAGTAGAACTTGATACTCTTCTGCCTACTTTTAGAACTGAATGCGTGAGCTAAGGTAAGGTTTTTTCAAATTTTTCTGAATTTAAAGAGCCTAGCAGCAGAAAAAAAAAAACCACCCACACCCACACACACACACACACACACACACACACCCACACACACACACACACACACACAATGGTAGCTTCAGAACTGTGGGAAGGGTCTATTTCGTTTTATTTCAAACATATTTGGAGGCAAAGATGAACCAAATGGAAGTGGGAGTGACCAAGAAATCATGGGTCTCAATTCCTCAACACACTGGGATCTGAGGTCAAGGTAATGCTTTGTCCTGGGAGCCACCATCAAAAGCACTGTTTCCTGAACAACTAAGAACCATTCTGTGACGTGTTTGCAATGCTGGCGGTAAGAATCCTACCATTCCTTGGGCCTTCCACCTCTCTGTTTCCCTGTGTGACTCCCTCTTATGGTTGCTAGAAGAATTAAGATGATACATG